TTTTTCTTAAGCACCTACTTGAATATAGACATAAAATGGTTTTTAAAGATAGGATATATATATATATATATATATATATATATACACATATATTTTCTTATAGTGTTACCATAGTTTCTCTATAAACATAATTTGAATTGAAAAGACATGATATTTTCCAAATCTATCCACTTGCCAGCAAATGCCATCATCATTTTATTCTTTATGACTGTGTCAAGCTCCATTGTGTATATATACCACATTTTCTTTATTCATTTCTCTGTGGACAGGTATATAGGCTGGTTATTGTGAATTATACTGCTGTAAAGAAAGTGCCTGTATCCTTACAGTATGATGATTATAGGGTTTTTTGGATATAGAACAAAGAGTAGGATACCTGGGTCATGTGGTAATTTCAGTTCTAGTCTTTTGAGAAATCTTAATACTGCTTTCGAGAGTGATTGTACTAATTTGAAGTCCTACTAACATTATGAGTGTACATTTCTCCCTATATCCTAAAATCAGCATATTATAATGATACATACATACTGATGTTTATAGTAGCACAATCCATAACAGCCAAGTTATGGACCAGCTTGGATGCCCATCAGTAGATGAATGGAGATGAATGGTTAATGCAAATATAGCATATATACATAATGTAGTTATACTCAACCAATAAGAAAAATGAAATTATGTCATTTGGTGATAAATGGATAGAACTGGAGAACATAATACTAAGTGAAATAGGCCAGACTTGGAAAGCCAAGGTTCAAACATTTTCCCCGTATAGGGGAAACTAAAGAGAAATAAGACATCAAAAGGGGATCTCATGAAAATATAAGGAAGAGCAATAGAGTAGAAGCAGGGAACTGAGGGTGAAGGAAGAACTGGAAAATAAATTTGACTGAATTGTGAAATGTACAAGTATAAAGAAGTCACAATTCAGTCTGATTTTTATGTAGTTGTAATGCACCAATTAAAAACAAACAAGCAAGCAAACAAATAAATAAGTGGAATATCAATTGAATAGAGGAAGGGGGTCAGGGGAAGTGAGGAGGAAAGGAATGGGGATAGAACTGGGGGTTGAAATAGGTAAAACTACATCATAAGCACTTATGATAAAATCCTGCAATTATGCAATGCACTAAAATAATTATTAAAAGTACACTAGTATAAAAAATAGAAAACAGATACTAGTACACAACTCTTTAGAATGATTAAAATTTGAAAAACTGACAATTCCAAATTTTGACAGGWTATATGATAATTAGCATCTCATTCATTTCTAATGATAGCTAATAGGAATCCAAAATGGTKCAGTCACTTTGGAGGAGACTCTATCAATTTCTTATAAAATTAAACAGTATTATTGTACAATCCATCTTCTTCAGGATATTAACTTAATTGATTTGAAAATATCCTTCTACACAGAAACCTGATGTGAATGTTTATAATAATTTTATGTTTGTCCCAAACTCAAAGTAACAAAGATGTTCTTCAAATGGAAATAGAGAAACAAATTGCAGAATGTCCTTACAAGAGAATTGAAAGAAATGATCTCCCTGAATTCCCAAAAGGTATGCAGGTGTCTTAATTGCACATTGCTAACTGAAAAAGCAAGTCTGAAAAAGCTAGATACCAGGCACAAATTATATGGCCCAATAGGAACAAAAAACATCTGTAAAAACAGTGAAATATGAATGGTTGCTAGGGCTTTGGAGGGAGCAGGAAGGGAAAAATAGAGAAACATGGAATTTTTATGTCAGAATTCTTCTGAATAGCACTGTCAGGATGGCTGCACAATACAATGCATTTTTCCAAACCTATATAACTTCATAGCACAAAGAGTGAACATGAATATATGAAATTCAAGGTATCTCAGAAAGAAATGCATATTATAAAAAGAGAACCTAATTGTATTACAAATTCATGAAACAACTTCACTGAGGACAGTAGAGGAATAGACGCTGACTTAAATAATGTGAAAAATGAATGGAGTATGTAAAGCTAAAGGAAAAAGTCACATTTTACAAGTTGAGTGAGGAGTATAACAAAAATTGAGTATCACTTTAGCAAGTTACTATGAATTATACAAGCCTGTTGGTAATGAAATTTTTATTGTTGAGCACAAGTTAGCAATTCTGAGACAGCTGTACCTGTATAGTGGAAGTGAACAGCTATATAAATAGATGATGAAGTGGGAGCCAATTTTAATTCTTGGAGTTGGAATTTAAAGATACCCAAGAAGAAGGGCTAGAATGATCTATGTGATAACAGATTACTATTAAAGACATTAGTAAAACTCTAATTTCTCTTAATATAAAAATAGAAATACAGATAGTTTCATATGGAAACATTTATAGGTATGTGTTTATGCATGAGTTAGTATGCCAGTATTTTTCTTCATTCTTTCAACTAAGGGAGCCTAAAAGAAATGAAGCTCTGATAACAATGAGCACACATAGAAATCAGCTCATTGTATTTATTTATTTTATATATATATATATATATATATATATTAGTTGTAGATGGACACAATACCTCCCTTTTATTTATTTTTATGTGGTGCTGAGGACTGAACCCAGTGCCCCACACATGCCAGGCAAGTGCTCTACCACTGAGCCACAACCCCAGCACCAGCTGTTTTTTTTTTTCTAATAACATCATTATTCAATAAAAGAAATCAGGCTTTTTATAGAAATGGATGATTATAGGATGGAGCTTCAGCCTCTTATAATGTCAGAAAGTAAAGAGATGCTCAAAACTACAAGGACTTTGGGCGTATAGCTCACTACTAAGGTATTTGCCAACACATGAAAAGTCTTGGATTCTATTCCCATGAAAGTAAAACAAAATAAAGTACTATACAACAACTTCCAACACACAGACACACACACACACACACACACACACACACTCACACACACTCAATTTGGGGGTGGGGCATCCTAAAGAGGCACAGGAACAAACTAAAAGAGCTCCAAACAGTCAAAGTGTTGCTGGAGTCCTAGGTCAGAGGGGTAATAAAATTGGAAAGTCCTACACTTTGTAAGATTCTTTATAGGTGAAGTTGAGTGAGGAGTATAACAAAAATTGAGTATCACTTAAGCAAGTTCCTATGAATTATAAGCATTTCAAGATAAAAAGTTAAAAATTTGATGCCCTGCTACATGCACATGTCCATATATATAGGAAACTCTAATGTTTTCTTAAAATGGTAGCTCATGAATAGTGATTTGTGCAACTATTTGATTTTAAACTATTGACAAAAATATATTGAGTTAGAACTTTCTAAAATAATTAAATTGTCATGAAAAAATATTCTTATTTTGGATAATATTATTATTAAAATACCTGTGACCAATGAGTACTTTTTCCTATAAAATATACACACTTTATTACTGATTATTTAAGGGACTAAATTTTTTTAAAATGAGCATAACAAATAAACTTAACCAAATTATACATGAAGTTTTAGTAAAACTATTATATCCCCTAGATTCATGATTAGTGAAAATTTTAATGGTTTTAATTATGTTTACATCTTGATAAATAACAGCAGAGGCTCCTTTACTATGTGCCCTTGGGATTCAAGAGCCCTTGAGGGGAGGACCATGTCTACTGTCGTCAACTAGTATGTAAACCCAAACACCAATGTTTCTTTTCTCCTCATTTATCACCATGGGGTGATCTCATCCTAAGGGACCACACATTCCTCAATTTCTAATCAGGCCCCAAAGAACTATAAGTCCTCATCAAATGCAATATGTTCTGTGATGTGTTGGCTCTGATGTCAAGCCCATGACTTTTCATTATACCCTTTTGGAAAATTTATAACTAGAAGTTTCACCTATATTTCAGAATGAGTCTTGGAACACTCAGATTGTGAAATCTGTGTTCTGATACCTTTTTCAGTAAGGAGGAAGAATCTTGCAAAGCAAGTGATCAGCTCAGATACCTGGAAGCCAGTTCRTCCTCCAGGACAGTAGAGGTGAAATATTTATAAAGGGTGATCACTTGAGTTCTTTAAGTGGAAGGAGGTGAGTTCCTCTGATCTCTATCTCTCACTCTCCATGTAAGTAAAGAATGAATAGAATTATTACACTGAATAACAAAAAATTTAGCAGCATGGAGCCCTGGATCTACTGCTTGCATTTTTCTCATCTATATCTTGCTGTGTTGGCTTCTCTCTCGGTTTTGTAATAGGACAGATACAGCAGCAGTTTCAGGAGTATAACAGGAACACACCAACATACAGCCCTTTACAAATACTGCTGTGTGCTATACATACAGAGTTTACATGTTGTAAGAACACAGTTGGGCAAATTTTTCAAACTTAACTAATATAATCAGCACTCATATAAATTATGATTCTGCCTCATCTCCTCATATTTGATCTTTGAAAACACATTTGTCATCTTTTTTTCTGGCCTCTGTGTAGCCAAGATGCAGTAGAAAAATATGTGTACCAAAACTGAGGTATATATCATTCTGAATCTTAAGCTGCCAAGGATCTTCTCCATACYTGTYATCAATTGTTGACTTTATGGATTCTTGTATGGTATATGGGATCTCTACAGACTAGGGGATACTCCTTTCTAGGAAGAATAATATTGATACATTCTCTTCCYTAAAATAATTCTTCCCTTAGTTAGCACAGGAGAACTGAGGTGTCTAGTAGAGTAATGGAAATATGATTAGGGGCAAGTAATTGAGGGAAGAGATGAAGTAGAGGGAGTTTGGAGAGAGATATCCCCACTACATAGCTCACCAGCAGGTGGGTGTGTGTCACAGGGGTTCCACCTTTCTACTAGCCAGGACAGGAGCAATTATTGTTTCACTTTCAGTAAGTACAGAAAAATGAGAGGGTGATTGAAGTTGAAAAGGAGGGTTTATTCATATGACATGAAGCAAGGGATAATTTACAGGAAATCTGCCAGTACCCTCCCCATCAATGACAAAAGCAGATACATGGGTCCTCTATTAATGAAGATTTGTTCTGTTCTCCCAGACTCTCAACAAAGAGAATGCTGACBGGAAATGACTCCCTGGTGACTGAGTTTGTTCTGGCTGGATTAACAGATCTCCAGGAGCTTCAGCTTCCCCTCTTTCACCTGTTCCTAATGATCTACATTGTCACCATCGTGGGCAACTTTGGCTTGCTCACACTTATTGGTCTCAATTCTCACTTGCACACCCCTATGTACTACTTCCTCTTCAACCTGTCCTTCATTGATCTCTGTTACTCTTCTGTTTTCAGCCCCAAAATGTTGATGAACTTTGTCTCCAAGAGGAATGCCATCTCCTATGTGGGGTGCATGACTCAGCTGTTCTTCTTTCTCTTTTTTGTCATCTCCGAGTGCTACATGTTGACCTCAATGGCCTATGATCGTTATGTGGCCATCTGTAACCCATTGCTGTATAGGGTCACCATGTCCCAGCAGGTCTGTTCTGCATTGTCTCTTGGTGCCTATGTGATGGGATTTGTTGGTGCCGCTGCCCACACAGGCTGCATGCTTAGACTGACCTTCTGCAATGCCAATGTCATCAACCATTACTTGTGTGACATACTCCCCCTCCTCCAACTTTCTTGCACCAGCACCTATGTCAATGAAGTAGTGGTTCTTGTTGTGGTGGGCATTAATATCACAGTCCCCAGCTTTACCATATTGACTTCTTACATCTTCATTCTTACCAGCATTCTTCACATCAAATCCACTCATGGAAGATCAAAAGCCTTCAGTACCTGCAGCTCTCACATCATTGCTATTTCTCTCTTTTTTGGATCAGGTGCATTCATGTATCTTAAATATTCTTCTCCTGGATCTATGGATCAGGGAAAAATTTCTTCTGTTTTCTACACTAATGTGGGTCCCATGCTCAACCCTTTGATCTACAGTTTGAGGAACAAGGATGTCMAAGTTGCACTTAGGGAAGTCATGACTAAAATTAAAAAGAGAGACAAATTGTAATTAGAGGAACTAATTGTATAGAGAAATTGAAGGATCTTAAAACTTCTACTGGTGTTTTTCATGAAAAGATTTTGCTCATGTGATTTCTGCAGATAGTGTTTTATGTGGTTACCCCTGTTGTTTTGACATTTCTCTTAAAATCTCATTGTTTTGTTTCTCTCTCTCAAACATTTTTAGCAATTTTTAAAAAATAATTAATTGTCAAGAGCCATCCGTGGGCTGTGTGTGGACTACATCCGCATTGCAGTCTAGTGAATAGGAGAATATGGTTTTGGGGTACTTCCAGAGGAAATTTCCTCTGGATAAGACCATCCAGACACATTGTAAGTTCTATTGAAGCTCTGCCTGGTCCCACACAGCWTTGGAGATGGGATGACTTGCTACAACCTCCCAGACACACAGCCTATCAGAGGTGGGTGTGACCTACCAAGATGTCAATCAACTTGCTGACTGCAATACACCATGAAGAAAGATTCCATATCTGAAACCTTATACCTGCCTTTGACATACTCCCTTAAATAAACCCTGAGAGCCATTTTCTAATTATCTAGCACCAGCTCCTGTGTGGGCTCAAAATTTCAGGTACTTAATCCTTTAAAACTATATTTTCTGACTCTGTGTCTTTGTTCTTCACTATTGTTCTAGATTTTAACCTCTTAGGTGACATACATCCTCCTGAGCACATAGAAAATCCCTCTAATGAGGCACTTGATGCCTCCCCGTAATTAATAACATGTTTGCAAAGCAATATACACCCTGGTATTTTTCATTAGGATTAAATACAGACACCATTATTTCTTCCCTTTCTGGATTATTTCCAGGGCTCTTCTTAATCTGAAAATATATAGAAAATTTCATAAGTTACAAAAATTTAAAATTATGGTGTTCTCACCTAAATATATAAATATGACAAATGACATATAGAAATGACAAATGTGGTTTGGGATAAGGTTTCAGGGGTGGAGTCTTGCTTCATGGTGTCTTGCAATCAGCAGATTGATTGACATCTTGCCTGGTCACACTTGTCTCTGACAAGTTGTGTGGATGGGTAGTTGTAGCAAGTCATCCCATTACAAAGCTGTGGGGGACCAGGTAGAGCTTGAATACAACTCAGAATGCATCTAGGTGGTCTTATCCAGAGGAAATTTCCACTGGAAGTTCCCAAATACCAGATTCTCCTATTCACTAGGTTGCGATGCAGATTAGTCCACACACAACCCACAGATGGCTCTCAGCAATTAATTATTTTAAAAAATTGTTAAAAGTGCTTGAAGCATTTTCATTGTTATCAATATTGTGTTAGTCATGAGGATATGGTGGAAAGTCTTCATTTCTTATCTCTGTAAAGCTTGATACAATAAGATAGATAAAATAGAAGGAATTTTTGGATTTCCTTTCCTCATTATTGTTGCTTTTTGTTACCCTTGTGAATGGAATGGCAAAACTCGTATCACAGGACACTCTATATCATTCATTTATTGTTGAAGAGTATATACACACCTACACCCTTATTACTGACAAACGCGGCATTATCAGAAGATTAATAGAGACAGGATATGTGTGTATCCCAGATTTCCAGTAAGGGGTATGATAGTTCATATTATTTATATTGCATCCATTACAATCTAAAATGGCTTCCAACATTTTCATAAGAAGCATAACATTCTCATAACAATTCTTTGTTTTTTTCTTTTGATCACTAACACAAATGTACTATACATTAAGTTAATAGAAGTATGTAAGCCAGAGTTTTAGTCATCCAATGAGGGTCATTAGAAAAAATAAGTATATGTTAGTATTAATAAACTATATTCTTATCAACATTTTGTGAGCTCACTTAAACTTTGTATCATGAATAAGACATAAAACACCTTTAACATAGGGGCTGTGTCATATCATTTCTGTATTCCTCCAACACTTTTGTCATCTTCATATTTAGATTGTTACTATACAGACATTAAAAAATGTTCACTTGAAGAGTGTTGTTTGGTTAACAAAAATTATAAATTTACAATTATGTTTAATGAATATAAAATGTAATAAATGATAGCAACAAAAATAAATCATAAAAATTTTGCATTTTAATTTCCTTTTTGTTTGTGGAATGTGAGCTTTATAAAATCCTCCTTAGCTCCTGTCAAGAGAACCAGCGGTGAGGAATATAGTTGGCAGAGAAATCTATAGCTAATACTCCTTTGGGTGAACCATAGTGCTCAGCCAGAGGCCATGCTTATTCTGAGAAGACTCACACAATGGTCCAGCAAGGTGAGTGGGAAGTGCTGGGGATGGCTGATTTCTGCCTAACACAGGTCTCTTTTGATRGGAATCTTTGCTTGCAGACTTCCTATCATCCTCACCATGACCTTTTAGTACTGTACTGCAGTGTGATATTTTCTACCCAGTCCTTCCATTTCTTTGTCCTTTCTAAGGTGACACTTTCATCCTGGTCTGAGTTGCTCATCAATAGGTTCTGTTCTCTTCCGTTTTATCCTTCACAGGTGTTTACCATAATTAATACCTTACATGTCTTATTTCTTGGCAATTTCTTCCAAGGAGATATTCCTGCTCTCCATATAAGGGAATGCTATGTTATTTAAGGCCTCAGAACTAGAGTCCAGTTTTTTAACTCATTGCACATCTTCTGAAAAAATAGAAGGAAAAATGGAAAATTGTGAAAGACCAGGGATAACTTCTAGAGAGTTGCTTCAGAATGAGCCAAAAAGCAGAGGTTGTATGAAAATGATGTCCTGAGCCAAGATGCCAATACCAGAGAGATGATCTACAAGATGTCAATGTTCAACTAGAAAAATGTACAGGTATCTACAGAAGTCTGCTTTTAATGTGTTTAAAGTGGGTTAAGAAGGGTAAGGTGTGAAGGAACATTTCATCTTGATCTTTTAATGACAGTGATTATTTTTCTGGGATAGCAGTTTAGGTCAAGCCTTTTTTGGTGAGACCTGTCAATCTTTCCATTGTACTGAAAGTCTTTTAGATATCATGCTAACATTCGGAGTTATTCATAATAAAAATAATAGAAATCTGTCCTCTATAAAATTTTAAGATTTCTTATGTCGAAAGAAGATAAATTGAAGATAAAATGAATACATTTCTTGAATCAGTTTAGAACAGATGCTCCTCAGTGACTATATCCTTGTCTTGGTAAATGGTTCATTATCGCTGTAATATTTATATTTATATGAAGATATTATAATTTTTGAAAAATTCTAAAATCCTTGGTATAAAAGAATGCCCTTAAAAGAAAGTGAGGCCTCTTTAAAGAACTTCAGTATGATTAAAATCATTACAATGAGAGAAGAGTTTTTATTTATATTCATTATAATAATTTCACTATTTTAATTTAAAAAATACTCTGCAAACAGATTCTGAATGCTTAGTATCCAATTCTACTTTTTTATTTACATTCATAACAATGATTTGTGAAACAAAAAGCTTAACACTGGTTTGAATTTTGTTTTGTGGCACATATTTTAGTAACGACTTTTTATGTTTTTATAAAAACAGAATGAAATGTACACCATCCATGTCTATAAGCCCTGGGCAGCTGGTCTGAGCACTATATTGTATTCTGAAGCATAGCATGGTAGACAATGAACCAACAAATAACCTGACTCAGTTCTGACAAGTTTGTAGCCCCAAATGGGGCTCTTAGGAAGTCGAGAGTCAGTAGGTCTAATGTGACAGTGCTTCATATCTTTAGTAGGCATAAGAACAATGAGATAAAATGGCATCCTTGCTCCATTCTCGTATCCAAAGTGGTGCTGCAGCAGTCATAGGCCGAGGAGACAGAGCCTACAGTTGGCAAGTGGTCTTTGGGCTGCTGCTGGAGTTTATGATTCAGTTGTCCAAGGAGCACAGTGCTAATCCTCAGGACCTGTCCTGCATGGTAGCTGGATGCCAGGAAGCGAATCCATGACAACCACTTCTTCAGGAAGAAGCTCAAACTTCCATATTTCAAGGGCACATAACTTCTGCCCATTTCTAGCTACATTAGCTGACAGAGGTCTAATGGCATCTAATATAGTTGCAGAATGTTTACTATAACTATCCACAACCTTCTACTGATTAGAGATCTTTAGTTATTTTGAAATACTTGGAAAAAAGTGAAAGTGATTCTAAATATTTGTTCAAAGTTAAATAAGTCACTGTAAGAATAACTCTTACATTATTTAAATATAATTCAATTTAAATTTTTCAAATGGTCTTAAAAATTATTTAGCCAGGTGAAGTGGCACATAACTTGTAACCAGTAATCCAAGCCACATGGTAAACTGAGGTAGATGAACCGAAAGTTCAAGGCTAGCCTAAATAACTTAGTCAGACCCATCTCAAAATAAAAAGTAAAAAGGGCTGGGGATGTTGCTTAGTGATATTGCACTGGGGTTCAATGCTCAGGATTGCAAAAAAGAAAAAAAGAATTTAAAGGAAAAGATTTAACACTCAGACATGTTTTCAGATATGTTATAGTTTAGATATGAGGCATTCTCTAAGAGTTCATGTGTAAGACAGTACAAGAATATTCAGAGGTGAAATGATTAGATCACAAAAGGTGTAATTTAATGAGTGGATTAATCCACTGAAATGGATTTGCTGTGTGGTAACTGTAGGCAGGTAGGCAAGGGGAAATAGGTCACTGGGAGCATGTTGATGGGGCTTATATTTTGTCCCTGTTGAGCAGAGCTCTCTGTCTGCTTCTTCGTGGCCATATCTTGAGTTTCTTTCCTCTGCCATGTCCTTTTGACCTGATGTTCTGCCTCACCTCAGGTCCAAAGCAATGGAGTCGGCCACACATGGACTGAGACCTATGAAATTGTGAGCCAAAATACAGTTTTCCTCTTCTATGTCCTAAAACTACGTTTTCTTTTCTGCACCTTCATGAAAATGGAGCATAATATAAAGCTTTTAAAGTTAAACTCCCACTGACTTTGAGAAACTGAACATATTGAGTTTGAAAAGAGAAATGAACAAAGATATTGTGGCACATCTCAGTAAGAAGAATGACCATTTGATGTACTTCATTATAATTGAATCAGTGTGATGTAACTGTTATGCAAATGGAAGAAAGAAAGGAATAAATTTTGCAATACAAGGAGAAGCTTAGAATCTTTACATTCATTCAATGTTTGTCCATAGATACCCTGGAGGTATTAAAAGCAAAAGAATGACCTTCATCTTAAGCTCTAATTATAGCCTGATTTAAAACTCTTCTCACGTCGTGATTTTCTAAAATGTGAACTTGGAGCATTTCATGTTCTTGCATTTCCTAAATAAGATTTCTTAGGATTTCCATAGAAAATACACATTTTAATGAATCACCAAGGTCCTCTTCAAGGTTGTTACTGAAGGAATGTCTGTCATGTGGAATGTTTCAAGTTTCCCCCAAGGAATTCTTGTTCCCTTAGTAATTTTTGTTCCCTTAGTAATTTTGGGTCTGAGAATAATAATGGAGATTCATTTTTCCGCAATAGTTGGGTTTTCTATTATCTTGAGTAAAATATAATGTGTAATGTTAAAGGTAAAATAATAGGGGGAGCTCCAGTTTTTCCCCCTTGCTTTTGGTGTTTCTTAGTTTACTTCCTCACTGAGTGTACCAACCCATGATTTAATTGGAAATGACCCACAAACACTTTTTCATGTTCTAATCTTTCTCCTGTGCTTCATTTAGCCTTATTTATATATCTCCTCCTCCATACTTGTACCAGGATGCCATTTGTTCAAAACTGAATGTATAATTATAGCAATATTTCCTGTCTTTGTGAGTTCTCTCTGTATTAACACTCTAATTTACCCAAACACCTAGAGAAATATGTTGGGAAATTTTATTACCTATTCCATCCTCTTTGTGAGACATCCTGCTGAATCTTCTCTTACAAGGTCCCCTGTTTGTTTCCTGGAATTACAATAGTACTCTAAATTAGGCCCCAACTTCCTTAACAAGATTGCTAAAGTGCAAGAAATAAAATTAAGAATTAATAAATGGGATGTGTGCTCTGGTCCAGCAAGGAGGTCCACATTACAGGGAAGAGGAGACTGTGGCTGTGGAGTCACTATTCAAGACTTCCAGAGACCACACAGGAAGCAGGTCTGATTTTATTGTGCAGTTCCCATGTATATATACTCAGGCAGTAGTTAAGCAGATTACAGGTAGCCATAAATACAATTTCTTACTAACTGTTCTTGAAGTAGCCAATTGAGGAGTGGGCTGTGGAGGAAGCACTGGGACTGAACACATGGCCTCATGCCCAGGGCTATGCCTACAGGGTAAGTGTCCTATAGCTCACGTGACTAGCATGAGGGGAGTGGCCTGCCCCTCAGATGCCCTTAACATATGCTATGTATGTAGTACTCCATTCACTTGTCCCTACAGGTATGGACTCAAACTATAAAATTTCTTCTCAGAAAGTAAACAATCACTGAGGTGAATGGAGAGCCTACATTCGGAGAGCAAATTTTTGCCATGTGCACATCAGAAAGAGCACTAATCTCCAGAATATACAAAGAACTCAAAAAACTTAACACCAAAAAAACCAAACAATCCAATCACCAATGGGCTAAGGAGCTGAAAAGGCACTTCTCAGAATAAGATATACATTTGATTAACAAATATATGAAAAAATGTTCAACATTTCTTGCAATTAGAGAAATGTAAATCAAAACTACTCTAAGATTTTCATCTCATGCCAGTCAGAATGGCAGTTACCAAGAATGCAGACAACAATAAGTGTTGGTGAGGATGTGGGGAAAAAGGTACACTCCTGGTGGAATACATTCCTGGTGGAATTGAAATTGGTGCAACCACTCTGGAAAGCAGTATGGATATTCCTTAGGAAACTTAGAATGGAGCCACTATTTGACCCAGCTATCCCACTCCTTGGTTTATACCCAAAGGCCTTAAAATCAGCATACTATAGTAATGTAGCCACATAAATGTTTATAGCAGCTCAATTCACAACAGCTAAACTGTGGAAACAACCTAGATGCCCTTCAGTAGATGAATGGATAAAAAAACTGGTATATATATACACAATGGAATATTACTCAACATTAAAAGAGAATGAAATCATGGCATTTGCAGGTAAATGGATGGAGTTGGAGAATATCATGCTAAGTGAGGTAAGCCTATCCCCCCAAACCAAAGGCTGAATGTTCTCTCTGATATGTGGATGCTGATTCATAATATGGGGCAGAGGCATTCACCAGAAAAATTAAGTAAATTTGATTGGGTAAAGGGTGGAGGGTGGGGAAGGGATGGGGGCAGGAAAGATGGTAGAATGAGATGGACATCATTACCCTATGTACATGTGTGACTGCACATATGGTTTGACACTACATCATGAGCAACCAGAGAAATGAAAATTTGTATTGCAATTGAGTATAATGAATCAAAATGCATTCTGTTGTCATACATACCTAATTAAAATAAATTAATTAATTAATAAAAAACACAGAGGTTTGTATGATGATTTTTGGTTTTAGTTTCGCTTTCTTAGTGCTGGAGATTGAACCCAGCAATAATCTATCACTAAACCAAATCTCCTGTCCAACTTTATTTTTTATTTTGAGACAGGGTCTAATAAGTTGAGTTTGAGAACTTTCTCAGCCTTCTGAGTCACTGGCATTATGGGCATGTGACACCTTGCCTGGCTTCTTTCTTTTCTCCTCATCTCCTCCTTCTCCTTTCTTCTCTTCTTTTTTGTAAATCATCCATTGACTAGTATAATTGCCTCTGCAGCTTATCTAACCTTTGTCTCTCTAATGCTAGTCATTCCTACAGGTGCCCCCACATCAATGCTTATAAGGCAGCACTGTGGTTACTTCTGTTCTTTGCTAAAAATAAATAAATAAAGACCTAAGTGGCCTCCTATAGGGAATAATCCATCATTTAGGTACCTGGGAGCTTCCTACACTACACTGATCCATGTTCTGATCTGAGTCTATGCTGCAGTCCCGTAAGAGAGATGTTGGGAGCTCACAGAGGGGCTGTGCAAGTCCTCAGGGTGACATTCAGGGAGTGGGGAGACTGCAGTCTTTTTCTGAACTCAGTAACTTGRATCTGGAGTGCCCCTAGATGACTTTTGTGGGTCAAGCACTGGCCTTTATGTAAACATCTTACTGATTTTTTTTTCTGTCCTGCATTCTTATCTACAACTAAAACCATTGGCACTGTATAAGCCTTTGCCAATGGGGCAAAATATCTGTGTTGTATCCAGGACAAGTTCCAAGAATAATAAAGAGATCTTCATTAATTCTTTCTTTAATTTTACACATAGAGCATTTACTGATATGCCAGGTATTGCTCTAGGTGATACAGAAATAGCACTGAAGTAAATAGACAAAATCCCTGCCTTTGGGGAGCCTAGACTCTAACATATGTAGGTGCATGTATTGGGGGAAGACACAACAAGTAAAAAAATGAATTTATGGTATTTCATCTAGTAATAGGTGAAGAGAAAATTCCATTTGTATATGGAAAAGTTTTTCTTATATGTCTTTTCTGGGGATGTATCCCATTTGGTGGGGAATCAAAATATATGCAAAATGGTATCCTACCAATAAGTTATTGTTTGGAAGATAATTTATTTTAGTTGTGAAACTAATCTGTGGAGAAACACTGGTCTTCTGATTTTCAGTCAGTTCCCTAGGATTTCCAAACTCACAAAAACCTCTTGGGATCTTTTGGCATCAGTAGATGATGCTATTTACCTAACCTCACGAGATAAAGAAGACATTAGGTAAAGCACCATCAGAAATCATGATCTGTACCTTAGGGTGTTTCAGAGTTTTGGGTATAGAGAGTTGTTCTCTGGCTCTCTATGTTCATAATTTATAACAAACAAAAGCAATACCAACAAAAAATGTGTGTTTTCTGGTCTGTAAATTCATCAGAGCTACCTGCCATTCATAAGAATGGAGCAGAAGTGTTATCAAGAGTCCTGACACAGAGGGTTGAGAGCTGAATTGTACCCATCATGCTATTCTTCTAGATCTCATCTCTGGAAGCTGGTGAGTGTTTGAAAAACCTCTCTGCTGAGCCCACCATTGACTTTGAGGTAGAGGTGGGAGGTGGATTGTAAAGAAAGAAGTTTAGCTGAAATGAAGTAGTCATTGCCTTCCTGACCTTTTTTCCCTCAGAAATTACCTTAAAAAACCTTTACAGATTATCTAAAACTTATGAAATGGAGAAAAGGCATAGAGGGATGAAAGAAGGATTTAATTCATCTTCTATTCTGSATCTCCATCTCACTGTGTTGGGGCTGGGTGGAGAGAGCTGGCTTCTCCTTTTAATGTTACTATTTCTCCTTTTCTCACAGACCCATTCCAGGGAGGAATGGCCTCACAATGGCTCCTCAGTGACCCAGTTTATCTTGCTGGGTTTAACACAGCAGCCAGAGCTCTAGCTGCCTCTCTTCCTCCTCTTCTTAGGAACCTACGTGGTCTCTGTGGTGGGGAACCTGGGCATGATTGTTCTGAATCCTCACCTGCACACTCCCATGTACTACTTCCTCTTCAACCTTTCCTTCACAGATCTCTGCTACTCCCGAATGCTGATGAGCTTTATAAACCAAAACATCATCTCTTAGGCAGAGTGCATGGCTCAGCTCTTTTTCTTTGCTTTTTTTGCAATTGATGAGTGCTGTATTTTGACATCAATGGCATATGATCGAAATGTGGCCATCTATAAGCCCCTGCTTTACAGAGTCACCATGTCCCATCAGGTCTGTCTCTTGCTAATGGTGGGTGTGTATGCTATGGGGCTTCTGGGTGCCATGGCCCACACTGTATGCATGATGAGACTCAGTTTTTGTGACAGAAACACCATCAATCACTACATGTGTGACATACCTCCTCTCCTGAAGCTCTCCTGCACAAGCACCTCCGTCAATGAGCTGGTGGTTTTCATTGTGGTGGGTGTCAATGTTATAGGGCCTAGCCTTATCATCTTCATTTCTTACACCTTGATCCTGTCCAACATTTCCAGCATCCGTTCCACAGAGGGCAGGTCCAAAGCATTCAGCACCTGCAGCTCTCATATTATTGCTCTTTCTCTTTTCTTTGGAGCATCAGCATTCATGTACCTTACACCATCTCCTACTGGGTCTCTGGATCAAGATAAAGTCTCCACAGTTTTTTTTTAAGGGAGAAAGAGAGAGAGAGAGAGAGAGAGAGAGAGAGAGAGAGAGAGAGAGAGAGAGAGGGAGAGAGAGAATCTTTTGTTGTTTTTGATGATGGACACAACACAATGCCTTTTTTATTTTTTTATGTGTTGCTGAGAATCGACCCCGAGTCTCGCCTATGCTAGGCGAGCACTCTACTGCTGAGCCACAATCCCAGCCCTCCACAGTTTTTTATACCATTGTGGAACCCATGATGAACCCTTTCATTCACAGTTTGAGAAACAAAGATGTCCATATTGCACTGAGAAAGACTTTGAAGAAAAGCATGCTTTCCTAAACAGAAACTGTGTTTGGTATAGATGCCTGATCTTCATTAGGGCAAATGAGAAGTGAATCATGGAAAGAATAATAAGAAACGGAAATAAAATGCAAATAATGTAATAATATAGTTAATCATGAATTATACGAATCAGTTCATTGGCTAAGGCAACATAAGGAAAAGGATGGTCAGTTCTTCATTCTTTCTGAGAGAAGGGAGAGTAAGTCTGTCTTACATTCTCTGGGTTATTCTCAGAAACTATAAAGTGTTAAGTAGAATAAGGTTTCATGATACTAAATMAAGAAATGGTAAGATGATGAGATCTGACTAGGACACATCTGGAATTCTTGAGAAGCTGTGTCATGGAAATATTTGACTTTTGTGGACTTGGAGTTAGTCATTTAGTCTTTCACTTGATAACCCTCTTTTTGGTAATTAAGTGGTTTTTATTTTGTTTCCATAATTGAGGAAAGCCTTGGGGGGTGCTCTTCTCAGGACATTTTCTCTTTTTGCTTCATTCTGAGGGGAGTTAGGTAAAGGGAGGGAGGTCAAAGATGTTCTTGTGATCTTAGTTCCTAAATCACCATTTAGAGAAGCCAGGATAAAGGGACTTCCATGGGTTTGACCTCATGGAGTCCATGAGAGGATTGTGTGTAGGAAGACATGCTATTTCTTCGCTGAGAAGAAGTTTACTGCAAATGTTTATCAATAATCAGTTGCTTCGTGGATTTCACTATAAATCACTCAGGGAATTATTAACCTATTTCCATGGTGGGGTAAAATGAACATAGGCCTTCAAAACAGAGGAGGAAGAAGAAAGCTAAATCTTTTGTGTGGTTAATATCACAAGGAATTTTATTGTTCACCCACTCTTTTCCCTTATGAGATCCTAACACGTCAACCTCCTTTCCTAATTCTTTTCCCACATAATGCATACATCTCCTAACACCTCTCTCCCTCTGCACACCAACACACCAACTTCATTTCTGTTCCTCCTTCTCAGATGTCACTGTCTCTCAGTTATTGTACCATCTGTTTCCTCTGCCTGGAATGTTCCTGTGGCACCTATCACTGAGATCTCGGTTGACATGTCACCTCCTTAGTAGAGTCCATATTGATCATCTATTAAAATAGGTATAYAGTTATTCTCTTCCCTTCTGAAGTAAGTACACAGTTATTCTCTCAAATGGTAAGATTGTGAGATTTTGACTAGGACACGTCTAGATATTACCATTGAGATATATGTGTCTTTTCCTCAAATAATATTTACAGTCTTAATTCATTAGCAGTGAGATCTTTCCTGCTAACATTTCACTCTCTTTTGTCTTTTGAGGTTTACATGATATAATTGTAGCTTCTTTAATAACTGTCAGATGTAAACTGAGTTTCTATTCTATTTTAGACATCAAAATATCAAGGGTTTATTGTAAATGAGAAAAATATAGTGGCGAAGAAGATAGAAAATGAGTGTGTGTGTGTGTGTGTGTGTACATGAATATATCAGAAAAAAACTATAGAAAGTTTTCAGTTAAGCTGATAATAAAGAGAATAACTGTGTATTTACTTTAATGAGTGAGGTCAGGACGGGCTCTACTAAGGAAGGAGCATGGGAGCTGAGATCTCAGGGGCAAAAGGAAGACAGCCACATGGACATTCCAGGAAGAGGGAAGAATTGATACAAAATCTAAGCAGCACTGACATCTAAGTATGAGCAATAGGAAAGAGGTTGGTGTGTCAGGGGTGTAATGGGAAAGGGGTAAACAAAAGGATATGTATGTATTATGTGGGAAAAGAATTAGGAGAGGAGGTTGAAGTATTAGACTCTCATAAGGGAAGAGTGGGTGTTTTGAAAGCACAAAAAATCCAGGTGATATCAACCACACAAAAGATTTAGCTTTCTTCTTCCTCCTCTATTTGGAAGGACTGCTTTTGTTCATTTTATAACCACCCTGAAAATAAGTTAACAGTTCTGTCAGTGATTTGTAGTGAAATCCATGAAATAATATACTCTAACACCAAAGTGTCATATCCTGCAGGAAAGATAATGGTTTCTTTTGCTAATTTTCTACACATACCAAAATATGCATCAGAATCTACAGATTCTCATCTGGAACAAGAATAGAAGGAGAAACTCCCCTAATTTTGTGCTTTCACCCTCAGTACAAATGGCCCAACAGGAAAGAACAGTGGAATGGGTACTACAGGATCTGCTTTTGGTTGCAGATTCCGCAAGTGTTGTGCTCTCTGTTCTCTCAGTTTTACTTTCTGCATGGCTAATATTAAAAGTGCTGTGGTGAGATTAAATAAAATGTTACATCATTACAAAGTGCTTAGTGTTCTAAAAATTATACTGAAGTGATTCTAAGAAGCACCTGTCTTTTCACATAACTTACCCAAAATCAATATTGTACCTTATACTCAATGACATCTCATTGTTACTGATTTGCTAGATCTAGCTATCATTGCTTGTGTCTGGCAAACGTGATCATATGTATCAATGTTGCTGTCACTGCAAGTGTGTCAGGAGAATTGTGTAGGGGGATAGTTCATTGTCATTTAAGATTCTTGTAAGTATATATATATATAATTTTATGTATATATGTACATATACAAATATATGTATACATAATGAGTTATACAGTTTTTATAACTGTAACTTCACTATAAATTTAATGCAGCATTGAAGTATTTAGCTATCAAATACATGCAAGGATATGGTTAAAAGAGCAGAGGGTATAATTTTGTTATTTCATTTCATTTCATTTTCTAATTCATTTCTGCATTGGGGATTGAACACAGGGGTACTTCACACTGAACTATATTTCCAGAAGAACAAATTTGAAAATAACAGTTTGAAATACTGATCACAAGAGTACCCTTAACCTAGAATACAGTTATAGTACCATGTGGTATGGTGAGAGGCGTGTACTGAGTTTTAGGGAGGCACTGGTGTTAGTCTTAGGAGTTGGTGAAAATTAAGCTTGATTTGAATAAATATCCTTCTCAGGAATTTAAAGAGTAAGGGAAAGTAGTCTTTTTTWAAAAAAAAAATTCAATAATAGTGGAGAGCATAGTCCAATTTCATGTTTGGAAATTTGAGTTATGAATACAAATTTAAACAAAAGATCACAGGGCTGCCGGTACCCCACTCCACCCTGGCTCCAATTCTTTAAGTTCATCAGTCTCTTGTCTCTTTTTGAGCAATTTTTGTTCTGCCTGATTTAGGTGAGCAATTTCATAAGGCCATGGRTTATTATCATTAGAGTTCTGAATATCCTTATACAGTCCAATGGAGTTATTTTAAAGTTATCAGAAGCATGAATTTGCAGAATTATTCCACGAAATTTCTTAAAGACACGGTTTCCAGATGAGCAGTTCTGAAATTCATGTTAATTTAGGTAAAGCAACTTAACTATGGGCTAAATTTAGAATAGCCATGTTGATATCTGATGACTATTCAAAATTGACATTGAAATTTAGTTATTCCTGTAGAATCCAATAGTTTTATTATTAGAGTTATGACTGATACCATGCCAAGATGCCACAACACAAGACAAAATCAGTTAGGGTCACTCCAGGTGAATTGGGCTGGCACTAAATAATCACATAGACACAGAGACACAGAAAATACCTTTTTCTTGGGGTTCAGTGACAACTTCGCTGCCCCAGCTCCCACAAGGGAGGCAAGAGAAGCATGCAAATAAAAAGAGAGATAGAGAGAGAGAGCACACCTGAAACCATCCTATTTATTGAGGGGAAGACATTTGAGAGATTTCAACCCAAATAAGGCAAGGGATTGGGTTTCAGGGGATTGCTTGGTGATGTCTTGCTGTCAGCAGATTGACTGACATCTTAGAAGGCCACACCCATCTCAGGTGCTGGGAAAAGGACACATGTCACATAGCCCAGTCAGAGCAGCAACATCAGTCCAGTCCCCTCATGAGTTCTAATGCTCATAACTCACACACTGACCTTGGCTGGCTCACAACATCAAGTTGCATCTGATTTTTAGGAATCTCATACATTTTTGGAACACATATTTATAATACATTATATAAGCATAAGTCTAATAATTCTCTCATAGTTCCATGGGCCTTTGGACACCCCAAATCTAGTTCTAGGTCAAAGAACTTAATTTTAGAATTTAATTTTTGGAAACATGTTAAAAATATCAAGAACATTAGGATATTTAGTCAAAATGAAAAAAATTGTAAGGGCAAATTAGATTATTCAGTTTTACAAAAACAGTTCTTTCAAGATTGAAAAGACACACTTTTCTTAAAGAATCAGAACTTAATAAAAGATGGCACAAAAATTATCTTGCTAAAACACAGAATCTTTCTGTCCTAGGTAAGTTACCTAAAAAATGAAAAAGAATTCAGTATTTTCTATTATGAATAAATAAATACACTTGGAAACCCTCATCATTTTAATACAGAAGATTATTATTTATATTTATATTAGTATATTTTTTATATAAAACTTAATCTATATATATAATGCTGTATGATTTTTGGCAAACTTGATGACACATAAAATTGCTTTCATAAGATTTATCTTCCAAAAATCTACAACTTGGAGCTGAAGTTGTGGCTCAGTGGTAGAGCATTTGCCTAGCACAAGTGAGGCACTGGGTTTGATCCTCAGCACCACATAAAAGTAAAGAAAATAAAGGTTTATTAACAAAAACAAACAAAAAAAAACAAAACAAAAAAACCCTACAACTTGCTTTAACTGCAATTTGCTTAATCTTCATTTTTATTCTACCTTTCTTTCTCTAATCATTTTGACCACAACAGATTCTTTCTCAAACAAAAATTGCTTTTTTAAATTTTACTTTAATTCTTTAAAAAAATAAATCTTCCATACATATAACTTGATCAAATACATCTCCATTTTCTCAAAAAGGAATCATTTCCCTTCTTAGTTTTAGTTTTATTTAATATGTAAAATTCTTAGAAATTGAGAATCAATGCCTTGTAGATGAACACAAATTTATAATTTCTAGAAAGATGTGC